TAACATTAGAAATGGAGTAACATTTTTCGTTTTGGATTACTTTTGAAAACGTGATGATTTTTTCTAATGATTCATATTTAGTACTTAAGAATAGAACCCAAGTATATCTAGAATAGTCATCTACCAATACAAAGCAATATTGTTTTCCACCCAAGCTAATAGTCCTAATTGGCCCAAAAATATCTATATGGATCAATTCTAATACTCTACTAGTTGATACATCATTAATGGACTTAAAGGAAGCTCTTTTATGTTTTCCTTTAGCACAAGCATCACAGATTTTATCTTTATCAAATTTTAGCTTTGGCAGCCCTCTTACTAAATCTCCTTGAATTAGTCTTTGTAAAACACTCATGCTAGTGTGTCCTAGTCTCCTATGCCATAACCAACTATTATGTTCATCCTTAGCAACTAGATACAAGTTAGTCATATTAATAGAATCTAAAAGCACCATGTAAATGTTTCATATTCTATGACCAACAAGCATAATTCGATTAGATGCAATGTCAACAATTTTACAACCATTCGTTTCAAATAAGACATTGTATCTTTTATCGCATAATTGACTAATACTCAATAGATTATGCTTTAACACATTCACATATAATACTTTTTCTATTTGTATAGAAGAGGTATTACATATAGTACTTATACCTTCAATGTAACCTTTTGAATTGTCACCAAAGGTTACCACTCCTCCATTTTTGTCGTTAAGCTCTATAAACCGGCTCTTGTCTCCGATCATGAGTCTTGAGCATCCACTATCAAGGAAGCATGAATTTGAACTTGTATTTTGTGCCTTGTAGTCATGCTCCTTTTCCTACAAACATAGATTAATTTCTAATTTTTGGTACCCAATTTCTTTTGGGTCCATATTCATTAGTCTCTGAAATTCTAGTCCCCTTGAATATCCATTTGTGTAGGATATTTTTATCTTTAGTAGTAATGAGTTCTTTAGGAACCCATATACTTCTAACGATTTTACCATTAGAGGTTCTTTGGGGACCTCTATGATTGTTGTTTTTAAAACTTTTTCTAACAAAGTTGGATTTTGAGCTTTCTCCATTTTCAAAACGTTTTGATCCAACTTTATTGAAAGAAGCTTTAAGATCATCAATTTCTTTTTTATGATCGTCATGAACTCTTGAAAGTAAGTTATGCAAATCAATATTTTTCTTTTTAAAATCTTTGATTTTAATTTGCAATTCTTTAATTTTACTTTAATGATCATTGTTGGTCTTGGATATGAGATCATTTTCGTTTTTCAATTTTGAAATATCATTTTTGTGTTTCAAAAATAATTTCTCATAATCTGAAGCCAATCCAGTATACTCCTCTACTAACTCATCAAAAGAATAATCTTCAAAATCAAATGAGTTAGAGGTTACCTGAGAATCTTCCCCGGTGGCCATCAAACACAAGTTTACTACTTCTTGTTCCTCTTCATTTGATAATTCATCATCATCATTCCAAGTAGCCACGTGTTCCCTGTGCTTCTTCTTGGATTGACCCTTTTTCTTTAATTGCGGGCAATCATATTTGACATGCCCGGGCTTTTTGCATTCATAGCAAATGATCGGGTCCTTCTCCTTTGGTTCATTTTTAAAGCCTTCATTTCTTTTGAATTTTCTTCCTCTGTTGGGTTTCATTAATTTTCTGAACCGTTTGGCAAATAATGTCATTTCCTCGTCATCGTCATCTTCATCCAAATTACTCTCATCTTTTATGGATTTGAGAGCAACTCCAGCTTTTTTCTTCTTCTCCATCTCCTTCTTTTTCTCGTCCTTCTTCTCGAGGTCTACCTCATCTTGAATCATCATTTCATGCGTGAAGAGATAATCGATGAGTTTATCGAGAGTTAGAGACTTTAAGTTTTTAGCTTCGATAATTGTCGTCTTCTTCGATTGCCAAGCTTTAGGAAGAGAATATATTAACTTCCTCACAAGCTTCACATTTGGAATGATCTCTCCATATGATTTGAGACCATTGACAATCACGGAAAATCTATTCGTCATAGCTTTGATATCTTCATCCGGTTTCATCCTGAAATTTTCATAGTTATGAGTTAGAAGACTAATTTTAGATTCTTTTACCTCGTCTGTGCCTTCATGAGTGACTTGTAGTTTATCCCATATTTCCTTGGCGGTTGTAAAAGATGAAACTCTCTCTTATTCATCTAGTCCAAGAGCACAAAATATTATATGGATAACCTTTGAGTTGAGCTGGAACATTCTTGTCTCTTCTTCACTCCACGATCTTGAATGACTGGAAAGTATGGTGTATCCGTCTTCCACGATATTCCATGCTCCCATGTCACTTGCTTGAATGAAGTAGCTCATTCTATTATTCCAATAAGCATAATTAGCTCCACTGAAGAAATGAGGCTTGTTGATGGGCATTGAATCAAGAACGAAGTCGAAGTTTGAAGTGGAGGCCATTGATGACTTGAATATCGATATAAATCTTCCCGAATCGACTCAAGAGGTGATTAAACCTTCAAATGAGTGTAGCTTTGATACTAATTGTTGAGTTAATCGATCGACGAATCGGCCAAGAGGGGGTGAATTGGCAATAAAAATTTCGGTGGAAGCTTTTGCAGAAAATTGGAAATATTTGCACAACGATTTAGAGTGGTTCGACTTTCTCAACCAAAGTCTACGTCCACTACCTTAGCTATCCACACTAAGGATTTTCCACAAATTCACTAATTTGTCTTTCTTTTGAGGACAAAGAGTAACCTTACAACTCCCTCAAGAATTATACCTCAAATTCTTGAGAACACTTTCTCTCAAAGAGAAAATTACAAATTTCATAAACTTACAGAAAACCTCACAAGGCAAGATGTTTGTACAATTCTAGAACAAACAAAGAACACTCAAGAATGAATACAATTGGGCAAAAATTGTGTTCTTGAAAGCAAAATGAATATTGAATGAAAATTGGCTTGAAAATGCTCAAACGATATTCTCTCTCAATTTTTGTTTCTTGTTCTTGATCAATGGCTCCTGAGCTTGTTTAAATACACCTTCAATTGATTCTGAACGTTGGGGATCATTGGTAAAGTCAATAGAGTCGTTATGGTGTAATTATCATTTAAAAATATGTTGGGAGCGTAGGTGTATCGGTACACTCTCAAGGGAGTATCGGTACACTGTGTGTAAAATTCAAATATTTCGACCATTGGTTGACTTAGTGTATCGGTACATCCCATGTGTATCGATACACTAATTAGGTTCGATGTTTCTCGGAGCCAGGAGTGTATCGATGCATAGTTGTGTATCGATACACAAAATGCATTTGATGTTTGGTGTGTATCGATACATCCAAGAGTGTATCGGTACATCCCTTAATAAAAATTATTTTTGGCTCGAGTCTTTGTAAAAATGGTTTCAAAAATATTTTAAGAGTCAAACACAATTTTACACTTAAGTAAGGATTAAAATTGACTTTTGAAAAACTTTGGAGTAATATTTTGAAATTCGATTATTTTACTCGAATATATAATTCAAAATTGAATAAAATCTTAAAATTCAATTTCTCTTTATTTGTTATATCGAAACATCAAAATGTTTTCAACAGTTTGACTCATCAAAGTAAAACAAAAAAGGAATAACCCTCTATAAGACCCAATAAGCTAGAGAGTAGGGTACTGTGTTCGCCTCTCGATTGATGTACATCATCTTGAGTTCCAGATGTCTATCAAGCAATTCGCAAGCCTCGTTGAGTAATAATCCAATGACGGAAAGATCCCTTTGTTGATTCGTCAAATGATTCACAATGAAGATGTCATCTCTTTCAAAGATCACATTGGTCCAACCATTCTCAATCGTCAATCAAAATCATACCTAAATTTATGTATTTATGTTTTTGTTTAGTTTTTGTCATCTACTGTTAAAAAGTAAACAGAATTGAAGACATAACATTTTTTAATTTTTTTAAAGTACTAACATGACATTACTTTATAGTAACACGTCAATATTATTATTATTTTTTTAACGCTGACCGACTAAAACGGAATAAAATATATAATTTTAAATATAAAATAATTGAATGATTAAAACAAAATCACAAAAATAATTAGATAATTAAATACATAATTTAACCCTTTGAAAAATTGAATGCGTTATCAAACTAATATTGAGAAATAAAATAAAGTTAAAATCAACATAAATTAGCTTTATGAAAGGCCCATCGACCTACCTCTATTAGCTGGATGAAAACATACAGACGTTACCATATAAGGAAATTTGTGGTTGATTTGTGATGTTGAAAAAAATATTGATTGAATTAAGGTATCGTCGGAATTATTTCTCGAGATGATATAAATATTACAATAACTGAAATGTTACACTAACTAAGAGTCACCGAGAACGCGTCTTTCGGAGAAAAAGTCGGGAATACAATGCGTCTTTCCCATTGTTATGCTGAATCAAAAGCTTTAGTTTCTTAAATTTCTCTAAGTAACAATGATTATCTATTTCAGTAATTAGGTGTGACTTTATGATTACATATTGTCGTCCATGCGACTTCTGACAGGTATTGTAGCATTTACACTAAATCATAAAATAATTTTAATTAAACTTTATTTCAATGAATACTTTTTTTTCACAACTCTACATCAACAAATTAGCCGAAAATTGTCGCTTAACCCTTGATTCGTTCCATTCATTGCCTGTTTTAAAAATTTATTGAATACGACGTGGAAAGTTGCTATTGGATTTTATGAGTAGGACTATAAATGAGACGAGACAGATCGTGAGTTATTCGAGATCGACTCGGTTAAGGCTCGATAAATACTCAAATTAAACTCGCAAATTTTCGAGTTAAACTTCATTTCAAAATTTTTTAATCTAATCGAGTTCAGCAATAATCGAGTTCGACTCGACTCGTTTACGACTAGACTCGTTTACGGGAACAAAAACAGCGCGGTCCTCACGACAACTCACCAAGGTATGCACGCTTGATAAGAAAGGGCGTCGTTGTGATATTTATTCCCGAGAGTAAAATCTCCAATGATTTGAGAAAAGTCGGAATTAGATGATCCAAGAAAATGGTGCACAGCGCCTATGATTCCTTCCAGCTCCTCACCGGTTGTCCCAATAAAATCGACGCCATCGAATCCTACGGCTCGAAGCTGCTGCTCGGCTGCTCCGATGGATCTCTTCGAATCTACGGTTCTGATCCCTCTGACGCCGATCGATCTCCTCCGTTCGATCCCCACGCTTTGCGTAAGGAACCTTACGCGCTTCAGAGAACCGTTTCTGGGTTTTCGAAGAAGGCTCTGATTTCAATGCAAGTACTGGAATCGAGAGAGCTATTGTTATCACTGTCTGAATCGATCGCTTTTCATCGCCTCCCCAATTTGGAAACCATTGCTGTGATCACCAAAGCTAAAGGCGCTAATGTCTACTCTTGGGACGATCGTAGAGGTTTCCTTTGCTTTGCTAGGCAAAAGAGAGTCTGTATTTTCAGGCACGACGGTAATTCCATTGAATTTCTCCTCCTTTTATTTCTTTGACATTACCAATAATTTTATTTATTTTTAATTTCTCAATTTTTTTAAAGGAAGGGAATGAAAGCCAAAGTTTTTCTTTCAATGTACTATTTCTGGAGAATAAATGCTTGAATTTACTATAATCTAGAATGATTTATTAAAATTGGTTTGCCTATTGAATCATTATTTTTACTTTTAGCTAATTAAGGTTTTGCTTTTTAGCAACTCTTTTTATTAATCAAAAAGCAAACGGGATAGTTAACTATCAAACAAGCCTTATTGATGCGATCTCTTGATTTAGATTTGGTAAATTTGTTCTATATTTTCGGAATTAATTGTCATCGCCTGGTAACTGTTGAATGAAATTGATCTGAAAATTAATGTGCAGGAGGGCGAGGGTTTGTGGAGGTAAAAGATTTTGGTGTACTAGACACAGTGAAGTCTATGTCATGGTGTGGCGAGAACATATGTCTAGGTATTAGAAAGGAATACATGATACTAAATGCCACAAATGGTGCATTGTCGGAGGTGTTTTCTTCAGGGAAGATAGCGCCACCTTTGGTCGTTGCTCTTCCTTCTGGGGAACTTATTCTTGGGAAGGTAATGACTTAGTTCCATAACTTATTTACAACATCATAGATCTTTAAGCTATAGAATAACATCAAATGTGGTTCCTGCTGTCACTTAGGAAAATATCGGTGTCTTTGTGGATCAAAATGGAAAGCTTCTTCAAGCTGATAGGATATGTTGGTCAGAAGCTCCTACTGCTGTTGTCATCCAGAAACCATATGCAATAGCTCTATTTCCAAGGCGTGTTGAGGTAGGTGTGATTAAATGCTAAAGAAAGTGGGCTTTTGCTTCTATTAATATTTAAGCAGTTTCACTTATTTATTCTTTGCAGATTCGCTCTCTTCGAGTTCCTTATCCATTGATACAGAATATTGTGCTCCCTGGTGTTCGTCGTCTTATAAAAAGTAACAATGCCATTGTTGTAGCCTTAGAAAATTCTGTTCATGGACTCTTCCCTGTTCCTCTTGGTGCACAGGTATTCCTAGCATGTTTAAGAATTTTAACTTTCTCCTATGAATTTTGATCCTTCTTTTTCCTTATGCTCTAACATCAAAGTTTTCCCTAATTTGAAATGCTTTGAATATTGCATTAAAGGCATGCAACTTGCTTTGCAGATTGTCCAATTAACAGCATCCGGAAATTTTGAGGAAGCATTGGCCTTGTGTAAGCTGCTTCCACCCGAAGATGCAAGTCTTAGAGCGGCAAAGGAGGCATCAATCCATATAAGGTGGATTTTTCCTCATTAGCAGTTATTGTTATGTGCACTTTATCAAGTTTAATAAGAATTAATGAATCATTCACAAAGCTTATATTAATTTTAAAATACCACATTATCATTGTAAACCTTTTAGAAAAATTTCACATGGTCATGCTCTATTTTGTCATGAAATTATATAGAGAAAAAAAATCCGCATAAGAAACCTCTGTTTCTTACTAGGAAACTGCATTTTCCCTGGTATATAATCATTAATTTCAATAGGTTATTCAGGTTTATTGTATGTTCCTCAAGTTATACATTCTGGTTAAGTGGTTATTTTCTGCAGGTACGCTCAATATCTTTTTGAAAATGGGTCCTATGAGGAAGCAATGGAGCACTTTGTGGCATCTCAAGTAGATATTACATATGTTCTATCTTTGTATCCGTCCATTATTCTTCCCAAAACAACTGCAGTGTCAGAGCCAGTGAAGCTGGCGGACCTTTCTCTGGATGCTCCACACCTTTCAAGAGGTTCATCTGGACTGTCTGATGATCTGGAAACCTTTCTCCCACCATCAGAGTCTGATGAGAATTCTGTGCTCGAGTTCAAGAAAATGAGTCACAATACTCTCATGGCTCTTATTAAGTTCATACAGAAGAAGAGATACAGTATTGTAGAGAAGGCTGCTGCTGAGGGAACTGAAGAGGTAGTTTTAGATGCTGTTGAGGATAGTTTTACTTCGTCCAGGTTTAAGAAATCAAGTAAGGTGAGGCCAATCTCATTTTTTGTAAATGTCAATATTTTGTTACAGTGATGTTTATTTTGTCTCTATGTCAATTTATACATTAGAATTTGGCTTTTATGCAGAAGTGCATAATTGTGTGGACATAAACTGACAAAAATATTCTTAAATTCAATCCTAAAACAAGGATTAAAAAAATCTTGTAATCACTTCTGTTAATGTCCATTTTTCCCCAAATTTTCAAAAATTTTGTAACTTATTTTTATTTTGATGATCTAACACTATGCTTTGCCTCTTAGGGGCGTGGTAATGTTCCAATTAACTCAGCTGCCAGGGAGATGGCAGCTATACTGGATACAGCCCTCCTCCAAGCTCTGCTTCTTACTGGACAATCAGCAGCGGCTGTTGAATTGCTTAAAGGTCTTAATTATTGTGATGCAAAAATATGTGAGGAGATTCTTCAGAAAGGAAATCATTATGCTGCTCTTTTAGAACTTTACAGAAGCAGCTCGATGCATCGTGAGGCATTAACACTTCTACAGCAATTAGTAGAAGAGTCGAAATCAAACCAGTCGCAAGCTGAACTCATCCAAAAGTTCAGTCCCGAGGCAATTATTGAATATCTCAAGGTCAGATCAGTTAGTGGGAAACTTGCTCTTAATGCGTGTTGGGTTGGATGTGATGGATAAAGGGAGACTGAAATTTGGCCCTGACTAATATGAGAATATAATGTAATTTTGTTATGGCTTGATCTTGCAGGCCATTATCTGTTAGCATTAGGCACTTGATTTCTACTATTTGAGCACAGGAACATGATCTGATGAAACTTCTATATGCTGAATACTTTATATTGTTTACTTACAGCCCGTCTGTGGCACTGATCCCATGCTTGTACTTGAGTTCTCGATGCTTGTTCTTGAAAGCTGTCCAACACAAACCATTGAGCTTTTTTTGTCTGGAAATATTCCAGCAGACATGGTCAACTCTTATTTGAAGCAGCATGCTCCAAACATGCAGGGGAGGTACTTGGAGCTCATGCTTGCAATGAATGAAAATGGGATCTCAGGGAACCTGCAAAATGAAATGGTAAAGACTCTTTCTGTTTGCTATAAAATAACTCAGTTCAGTTGGTGTTGGTGATAGTGCCGCTGATGTTACTAGCAATGACTATTCCAGGTACAAATCTATCTTTCTGAAGTACTTGAATGGTATTCAGAACTAAGTGCTCAACAGATATGGGATGAAAAGGAATATTCTCCAACCAGGAAGAAACTTTTGTCTGCGCTGGAAAGCATCTCAGGATACAATCCTGAGGCTTTGTTGAAACGTCTTCCTCCAGATGCTCTATTTGAAGAGCGTGCGATTCTGTTGGGGAAAATGAACCAACATGAGCTTGCTTTATCACTATATGTTCATAAGGTAGTTTCTGGTTTATATGAAACGTTAAAGTTGTTGAATATTTGATTGAACTAGGGTAAATAGAATGCACTTTCTGTTAGGAAATAACTGCATAGGTATTATTTCATTGCAACCTTTTTTCTACCCCCTGCCCCCACTTTTTTTTTTTTTAAATCGCCTGTTCTTCATTGTTAATATGCTCCTAGTAAATGGATTTCTCTTGACCTTCATAGCTTCATGTACCTGAACTGGCACTGGCCTATTGTGATCGGGTTTCCGAGTCAGCTGTTCATCAACCACCGACAAAATCTTCTGGCAATATATACCTCACTCTGTTACAGATATATCTGAATCCTCAAAAAACAACCAAGAACTTTGAAAAGAGAATTACAAATTTAGTATCATCCTCAAATGCAAGCATCCCAAAGATTAGTTCAACAGCTTCATTTAAAACTAGAGGAGGACGAAAGAAAATTGCATCCATCGAAGGTGCAGAGGATATGCGTATTAGTCCCAGCAATACTGATAGTAGCAGGAGTGACGGTGATGCTGAAGAATCTAATGAGGAAGGAGGTTCTTCTATCATGCTTGATCAGGTACTTGATCTTTTGAGCCGAAGGTGGGGTAGGCTCAATGGAGCTCAGGCACTCAGACTCTTACCAAGGGAGACTAAACTACAGGTATGCCCTAAAAATCTTGAGTTGATTAGAAAGATGTGGTTGCATCTTGGTGTTTAATTTCATTGATATCTAAGTTTTTAAGTTTCCTCTGTGCGTCAGAGTACCAATTACAAACACTTCCTTAAGTTATCTGCCTTCTACCTGTAGAACTTGCTTCCATTTCTTGGACCTTTTGTGAAAAAATCCAGTGAAGCATACAGGAACTTCTCTGTTATCAAGAGCTTGAGGCAAAGTGAGAACCTACAGGTATGTAAATTGTTTAGGCACATAAAATAACTTATACTGTTTGAGATTTCCTGTTAGACTGTGTTCACGTGTGTGTTTATTCATCAATATGGTGGGCTTATTGGAAATTACTTTTTTTTATCCTCTTTCATCCAATCATGTATCTGAAATCTTATATGAAACAGGTGAAAGATGAACTTTACAACCAAAGAAAAGCTGTAGTGAAGATCTCGAGTGACAGTATGTGCTCTCTCTGCAACAAGAAACTAGGAACAAGTGTATTTGCCGTCTATCCGAATGGCACAACACTGGTCCACTTCGTTTGCTTTAGAGATTCACAAAGTATGAAAGCAGTGTCCAAAGTCTCACAACTAAGGAAGAGATGATTCTGAGAGTCTCCATACAGTTGGACGTATTGCTATTTTTCATGAAAAGATGCCGCTCAAATGCCCAGAATCAAAGCTCAGAAACAGTTTGGAGGCATTTATTCTTATTATTTATAGGACTCCTAAAACGTGAGTGGTGTGCATAATTCGGTGTCGGTAATACAGTTATGAAGTTGAAAGCAGTGGTTCAATGGTGACTAGGCCACCAGCGACCGGAATGCTTCAATTTGAGGATTCATTATTTGTGTGAATGCAGATTCTGGGACACTTATTTCCCTCTTTTTATTCTTGTTGTTTGAAGACCTTATTACAGGTACGTTCAGTCCATAATCAACATGGGTTTTGGTAGATCCGTTGCGTATGGGATTGGTGTAAAAATGATGTTCATTAGATTTGAGTTTTATCGCCTTACTGCAATCAAATATTTTAAGGGCATATTATGAATTTCATCACCCAACTTTCTTCACATCCTATTTTGATCATTAAAAATTTAAAAAAAATAATTTACTTACTGAATTTTCAATTTACTCTTATTTTGATCATTCATCTTTAAATCAGAAATGAAATGGTGATATGACAATCACATGTGTTGATGTGGATTGTCTTTTTCCGGCATGAAATTCACGTCATCCATGTAATTTTTCCTTTTTTCTTCTTAATTTTATCTTCTTTCTCTAATGAGGAAATTTTTATAGTTTTATTTGTGTCATGTTGACGTTAAAATCATCATTTTCTGGTGTCTTATTCGATCACTCAAGACACTAGCAAACTTCGTCGCATCGTCTTCTACCACTGTATTAATTTAGATATTTTTATTAAAAAATCACTTTAAAACTCATGAAATTCAACCTAAAATTCGTAAAACTATAAACCACTTTGATTTACAAGATTCGCCTTTGATCAGCATGAAATCAAAATATACAACTCATTTTCTACCCCACTTCCCCACTATTGAAATTTGGAAGATGAAATTTCCAGTCGTAACACTGATGAAGTAATTAAAATAAGAGTAAATATAAAGTTTAGTGAATAAATTAAAAAAAAATTAAACTCTAACAACCAAAATAGAACTTAGGAAAAAATTGAAAAGTGAAATTTATAATTTATCCACATTGGCGCTTCCAATGTCACAGAATTCTTCCCTCCAGTTTTAAAAGCAAGTTAATCTATGAGGGATCATTCAGAGCAAAGTCGGGGTGGATTATTATAATTTAATATTAGGGAAAAGTACATAAATGGTCCCTCGACTATTAAAAGTTACAATATAATTTTTTGATAATATGACGTTGCTTTGTTGAGTCATTCTATAATTAGAAATTATAAAATAATCATCTTACTATTCATATTTTCTAAACTCGAAATTTTTTGATAAAAAATTGATGGTTATCTGAGCTGGACGTTAACACACTGACTGATACATGATGGTCATTTGCAATTATAGGATCAGATTTTAACATATCTCAATTAGCATGTTAATGTTCAATTCAGATTGTTGTCAATTCTTTTAACGGAAAAGGAGCTTAGAACATATTAATAGTAGAGTAACTATTTTATAACTTTTAATAATCAGAAGTCTCAACAAAGTAACATTCTATAGTTGAGGGACCATTTGTGTACTTGAGCCTTAATATTAATTGCCAAATATCTATTGTATATTATATTCCTAAGTTACCCTCCTTGGCTTTCACTTACTTTTATTGACCGTTCGAGCACGTTTTTGTCTATTTATAAATTTCATGATTATTTATAAACTAAACTACCCCATTAAGTCATTAAATTATGGGGCTGAATCAATTTTGATCATCAAATTAATTTTTTAAATAATTTAGTCACTATAAGTTTAATAATTCTGCAAAATATAGCTGTGAAAGTTTTAAAATTAGTATAAAGTATACAAATGGTCATTAAACTTGTTAAAATGACTTTTTTAATCATTAAAATTTAAAACATATAAAATGATCATTAAATTTTATCAAATTATTATGGATTGGTCATTAAACTCATTGAATTATTATAAAAATTGTCATTAAATTTATTAAAAAAAATTTATAACATGTATTGATCATTTTGTAACAATTCAATAAATTTAATGATTATTTTTTAACTTTTGAAACTTCAATGACTAAAAAGATCATTTTAACAAATTAATGATCATTTGTATACTTGGCCTAATAATATATTTAATTTTTGATATTTATACTTTGAATAATATAGTTATAATTTTAATAGTTTAACAATTCTACAGATCTTACCCTTATTTATGTCTTCCATGTATAGAATATCATACATTGTATTGAAAAATGTAAATGATTTTATGTATTTATGATCAAAAGTCTTATAATAAAAAATATTTTACGTAAGAAATTTTACCAGAAAATCAATTACTGAAGAACCTAAAGTACCAATAAAGATTATTGTAAATTAGTTCAAAGAATTGTAAAAAAAAAAAGTAGTACGAAATAGCAGAGCAAAAAACGGCGCACAAAAATAGAGTTGAAATCGGGTTACTGGATTCAGAGTCCAATGTCCTGACCTCTAGACCATGGCACCACTTTTGATTGCTATAGCCATGTATTTGGTTTATTACACAATAAAATAGTAAAAGACAAAACAATAGTATTTCTTTTCTTTTCTTTCTCCTGGAAAATGACTGATATCGGTACTTCAAATCTTAAATTTTTATATTTGAAATACTCCCACGAGGTTCAAATGTTTATATTTGAGTACTTAAAAAGCTCCCAAATGAAGAATTATTATAGCATTTTAGACTGAAGCATGTAAATCCAGGATGCAACATCTTGAACCAACCAATCAAGTCCCTCAAGAAGGCCCAGTGTATGCACTGCACCCTACAATTTTCCAATGCCTTGTTTTATCCATAGCTTCTAGGTTCAGCACAACATGCACATGTCTATAACAAACCAGCATTTCAAATGAACGACTTAATGGCTAGAAAATGTGAAAAATACAATCCAAAACAAAAACTTTCGACAGCACAAAATTTGCAAAGCAACTTTGGGTTTTTCCTAAACATAGCATTCTCGGCTTCCGCAATCCAAAACTCAAGAAGTAACAAGCTGAAGAGTAGTTAATTATCAACTAGTAGCCTTCTTTAGCTATTTCAGCTGGTGTGAGAGCGCCCTTCCGTATATAGAGGGTCATTTACAAGACACTTTGCCCATTTTCAAAGTCATTATGATGATAGGTCAAAGTACACAAATGATCCTCTGACTGCAGGATACTACTTTGTTGAGTCCCCTGATTATGAAAAGTTACAAAATGGTCACCCAACTATTTATATGTTTCAATCTAGTCATTTTCTGTTAAAAAAATTGATGACTGTTTGAGTTGGACGTTAACTATTGCTTGGGATATGATAAAATCATATTTCAATGATGTCTACTGGCACAGTCGTTGCTTTTAAGTATTGGTTCGATGCCATTTCAAGTATTGGCTCGACGGTATAATGTAAACGGAGAGTCGGTCCACAAAATACAAATCAAATAATTCTGGGATCTGATTTTATCATATCCCAGTCAACAGGATAACGTCAAGCTTAGATGGCCGCCAAATTTTTAACGAAAAAGGACTAGTTTGGAACATATGAATTATCAAGTGACTATTTTGTAGCTTCCAATAATCGGAGGACTCAACAGAATAGTATCATATAATTGAAGGACCATTTTGTAACTTTTAATAGTCAGTGAACTCAAGAAAATAGTGTTCTATAGTCAGGGGACCATTTGTGTACTTTACCCAATATATAATTATTTATCATACTCACAAAGCTATAATTCCTAGGGAAGTTAAAAAAAATCTTAAAAACTCTCAACATCAATACGATATAAGGATTAAACGGCACAATTTACCGCGTCAACAATTTGATGGAATTATGAATACAATTTTTTTAAATGAACAAGAAAAGAAAACACAAAAAAGAACTCACACCATAATGATTCGTATTTCTTTCTTGTTCATGCATAACAAGGGAGGCTTACGACGATTTCCTTCTAACTTGGACGGAGAACAACATGAAGAATCATAAGAAACCATGGTGGTCGTGGAACTTGAATAAAGAGTAGGAGGAGAAATCTCGAAGAGAGATAAAGCTCTCAAAATCCCTTTCTTTTGTTTGAAAGGGACTCTCCCTTTCATACTTTGATCGTGGTTGTGCCTGGCCCCATGTGGCAGATTTTGATAGGAGGGATGATAATCATATATTGATGGTATAAGATTATGATAGAGGCGATTGCGGTAATTAGGGGCGTCAATTATCGTCTTGTACGTTGACGACTAGGTTTGCAAATATCTGGGTTTCATAGTACACAACCTTGGCAAGGGAATAACCTGAGGCAAAACGATAATTTATATAGGAATGTTGCCTTAAATAATGTTGTTTTAGGATAAAAATTAAATAATTCATTTTTTTTTATTTTACCTCGTTATCTCAATTTTACCTCTATTTGTTCTTTCTTTTTTTAATTAATACCTCTATTTTTTTTAAAAGGAAAACCCTTTTGTAGAACCCGTTTTTGTCCGGGTCTACAAAAATATTAATATATATTGATTATTTTATTAATTATTATTATTGTTGTTATTATTATTATTACTATATATTTACATTTTGCAGGCTTCACCGACCTGAAACCCGGAATCCAACTGACCCAACATGCAACCCGGATCGAGACCCGACCCATTCAACTGTTGCCACCAACTGAGCAAACCACCATGTTGCTGCCTCAATCCCAACTGCTGCTCCTGCACACCAACACGTTCACGCCATCTCTGTCAACAAGCAAGCTTCACCAAACACCTCTGCCAAACCTCACACCATCACCAATCAACAAGTCATTTTATCATTTTTGCATATAATTTTAATATAGGTATAAAATCCAATCAATCAACAACAATGTAACGGGAACCGATTATCAGCAATAAAAAATATAGTTTAGAAAAAAAAAAATTCCCTGTTCTTTCGTATTAAACAAAGCACGTCAAAATCAAAAATAAAACAAAGGGAAAAGGAAAAAAGGTTCTTACCCATTCGGTTGGTGATGTTTGTAGTGTTAGGGGTTGATTTCACCGATCCCAATGGTGAAAAGCTGCGCAAGCCTACCACGAACAATATATTAAAAAATCGGGTCGATCAGACAGTGGATGGTGGAAGATCGGATAGAAGAAGGCCAAACGATTTCGGCTAGATTCGTGGAGTTTGAGACATATTCTCACAAAACTGCCCCCAGATCAGAAACGGGGTGGTCGAGACGAACATCTCGGTGTAATTTGGTGGCCATCGACCACCGAAGGTGACCGATTTTCTCTCTCTATTTTTTTTTAAAAAATGACAA